TTGGACATTTTCTAAAAATCCGGAGGCACCCTATGGTCTATAGTCTATACTATACTATAGAGTACTTCGGTTCTATTTATTAGTGCATAATTATAATCAAAAGTAGTAAGGTTTAGGACGTGTAAGGATAGGTTTTATATTATTATAGTCCGTTTTATTACTCACAATGCTATATTTTTAATGAAATTGTTTTTTCTAAAAAAATATTTCAAATAATTTCGCGGCGCCCTAAAAAAATTTCGCGGCACTCTGGTTGGGAATCTCTGAGTTATGCTGTACACAAACACAAAAATAAACATAAAAAAAAGACACACACACATCATTGTAAAATCAATACATTCATCACCTCGTTCAGAATCTAAAACAATATTAAAAGAGTTTARATATGGAATACTTAAAATGACAATTTTTGAAGTGRTTAATATTGATTTTTAGATCTATACATATGGTATTCAAATCTGGGGCCAAGACAAACCATTTRTCTCAGACAAATAGACTGGAGCCCCAYGGTATATGACCAACGACGCATTACATAAGGATCTACAAATCAAAACAGTCAACGAAATAGCAACTTGACAATACAAAACCCTCTTATTTCCCTCATGTCCTCTATAACCATCCCCAACAACCCTCCGAGGAAGAGCTTAAAAAGAAAATGACAAAGAGACACTCTTGTCTAACAAAAAAAAAAAAAGCTGTCTCTATAATAAATATGAACCCACAAAATTAAATAGGAGGTACTGTTGATGGACGGTTTCCCCCCTCAAGACATCATCAAGTCATTATATTATTATTCCCTATGTTATCAAATTTACTTATTGTGCTAATTGTATAAATTGTAAATATGCAAAAAATAAATAAATAAATAATGTATACAAATGACAAAGAATAATAGACGAACGAGTATTTAACGAACTTTTGAAACCAAATATTTTATGAAATCATGGCATATTTATATTTTTCCTAAAACTAATGTTTATATTATGGTTATATATTGGAACAATACAAACATTTTTTTAAATAGCTTTTCATCATTAAACACTTTTAATTCCTTATGCATATATAATATCAGTATTTTTATAGCTTGGTAACTTTAATACAAATTGTATTTATTTATTTATAGTTATTTTTAGTTTTGATAAGCGGTATCATAAGCACAACCTCAACTCCTATACTACAAATAATAATTGATTGAGACACTGAAATATATATATACTTAATGTATTTAATCAAATAAAGATCTAAAACTACGAAAAATATAGAAGAATTTACGGATTTATAATAATAAATGTTTTATGTGACTATCCCATTTTAAATTTAAGTCAATATTATAGTCCCAGATATTTACACAACACAAATTTAATCAGTTCTCATGGACCAGTCACGGTACGAGTTCATCAAATCCATCATGGATTATCCATGTGTCATAATTTTGACAGATGATTTGTTTTTTTTTTATTATACGAGACTATTTTTTTTATATGCTTTACATATATTTACTTAAATTCGCTTTTCCATGTTATATATTTATCCATAAATGATGATAAATAATTTGATTT